ACTACCAGAAGGACCTGAAGGTGGACGATGCTGAATATCTCATCCAAGGTCTCAACAATGGCTCATACACAGTGCTCCCCCTGACTTATCAAATCCCCTTGTACAATGGTCCTTTTCCCAGACGTGGAGCCACAGTGAATGACACCACACTTGGGGTGGGGGGTAAACTTACAGAAAAGAGGCTTGACACATCCCTTGATCACATCCCAATTAGGCCTAGGCCCAGACAAAAATGTGCGGTTCACAGATGACTGGGTTTTAGAAAAGAGGGAAACCTATTGTACTGCAAAMCCTGTGCTGTTACTCTTTGCCGTATCTGTTATGACGATTTCCATAAAGTAAAGRATCTCACTGAAATCAAGTATTGGTTGAGACAGGAATGTTTGGCGCRAAATGAGTTACCGAGGAAGGGGTACTGGGAAGAAGAGGCCAATCAATGGCRTAACTGGCCAGATGAACGAAGTATATTCCATGGGCAATGTTCAACTGCAGATGCAGTTATTGCACGTAGGATGAACAACCCTATGAAACACAAGATGAAGAAAACCACCGGTCCTAGGTACAAGACAACACTGACTATACTTGATACTACTACTAGTACTAACGAGAGTGATTCTGTAACTGCAAAATGCACCACTCTGCAACTCAAAAATGCGCGAAGGATGAGAACCCCCACCCATTCACACCATAATGAACACTGTCACGTGAAGGACAAAGAAACGCCTCACTGTTTTGGTGGTGAAGATAAAGTATAATGCTTGTACAAATAAATATTTGGAAATATCAATTTATTGCTTATCTTGTTGTCATGGTTGATGATTGCGTGATATTTGGTCTTCGTACCCGAGGTGATGATCAGGAAGAAAACCATCCAAAAATATCGTATTTTTTTGGTTTGGAAAAAGATGATCTCTGCTTGGGGTTGAGTCCAGATAATTATCCATTCAAGTTTACGTCAAGATAGGATGGCGTCCATCTCAAGGTCCCTTTGGCGATTTCGATGTCCTTTTGGCGATTTTGATGTTCTAATTTTTTTGGTTGAGATGATGTTCAGAAAACGATGATCTCTGTTTGGGGTCGAGTCCAGATAATYATCCATTCAAGTTTACGTCAAGATAGGACGACATCGGYGATTTTGATGTTTGTTTTTGGTTGAGATATGCTTGGGGTCRAGACCAGATAATTATTGATTCAAGATAGGATGTACRTACATGAGGTGGTGATTGGGAGATGMAAACCATCRAAAAATATCGGTTTAGCGATTTACATATCTATGGGTACTTCTTGTACTGTGCAAAAAATAATGATAAAGAGAACCAAAATTTCATAATGATACTACTTACACACTC